TTTTTTTGTTTAAGTGGATTGAATTTGGACATTGAGATATTACACTTTTTTTTCTTTTTTGCCCTTTGAATTTGTATTTGTATTTCATTTTGTAAAAAGAAAAGATGATACTAATATAGCATATAGTACCGGCCAATAATCAAAAGATTCATACCTCTAGAAAGTTAGAGGCCTGGAGGGAGGTGAATGGCTACTAGATAATATCATACCTAGTTTTTAAATCAAGTAAGTTACTTGTTGTAGTTAAAGAGAGAATAACTATAATTAAGAATTCTTGTAATTTTTGCTTGGTTAATATCTTAATAAAACAGTAGCAGAACATATTAAAAAAAAAAAAAATAAAAAATAAAGTTAGAATAAAATTTTATAAAAAAGTTAATACTCCAAAGACATTTTCATAAGCAAAAGTTTAAACTACAGGCATTTTTTGGTTGTTTTAATTTTTTTGTACTTCTTTTATATTATATATGATCTTGAAATTTGATTGGCTAGCAAAATTAATTAGGGTGGTAATATTACAGATACCGAAAATTTTGCAGATCATTACTTATAAAAATAAATTTAATTAGTCAAATATTTTATAATTACTTATAAAAATAAATCTGATTAGTTAAATTTTTTATAAGTAAGATTAATTTTTTTATAATAGTGTTAAAATTTTTTAAACTAATAGTAATTTGAAAATAAAATAACTTAATTGATGATTCACCACTTAACCAGAAAGAGCTTATAGTATAATGTGACATGGTTTATATATAGAAATTAGAGTTTTTGAAATATGAGCTGCTTCTATCTAAAACTTTTTTTATGAGATATTTTTGAAAAATGGGTTGCTGACTATATAAACTTCTCTTTCAACAATAATATTATTGAAAGAGAAGTTTACATAGTCAACAGAATATTTTCAAAGATATATTGTAATTCACCAAGCTGATTTTGATGATTTAACTACTATTAGATTTGTCTCGATGAGCTCTACAACTTCAATTAAAAGCCCAAAGATAATTAACTTAGTACAAAAAAATTTTAGATAGAAACAGTTCACATTCCAAAAACCCTAATTTTTATATATAAACCACATCATGTTACACTATGAGCTCTCTCTAGTTGAGTAATGAATTATCAATTGATAATAAATAATTTTTTTAAAAAACTTTTTTATAAATATATTCTTTTAAGTATAAAGAATAAAATTATAGAAAGTTTTTCTTTTATTTTGAAGATTTTTGAAGATTTTTTGATGTGATTAGATATCACATATCATATATGTTTTTTTTTTTTAAATCTTAAAGGTAAGACCATACCTCTAACTTTATTAAAATTCAATTGAGTTTCTTTACAAAATACAAAGAAATTACATTTGAACCTCATATCTAGAGGATACTTAAGACTAGAGACTCAGACACAATGTTATGAAAACATAATTATCTGCGGCCTAAACCTTCTTGATCAAAAAACAATAGTCAATATATATTATTTTTAATTTAAATAGGGAAAAAACGATATTTTGAATAACCGAAGTTACTATATGTTGTTTTAGCCCTGGGTTAGACGCGTTATCAGTACAGATCAGGGGTTCAAAAAAATTTTTCAGGGTTTTAGGGATGGGAAAATCGAAGATTTTTTGAATCTACTGCGGGCCAGAATTGTTAAATTTCGGAATATTCCGAAGCTCCGAAATATTCCGCCTGCGCAGCGTCCCATCCCATTGATTGATCAATATATTCCGCAAATACGCCGTAACGGTAATAATAATAACTTGACAGTATACTTGAAATAATAGACCGGTGTTTAGACAAATAGAAACATGGGCAGTTTTACCAAATCTCAAATTCGACCTGACTACTATCAAATACTAGAAATTTCACCTTCTGCACCACAAGCAGAGATTAGAAAAGCTTATAGAAAATTAGCATTGAAATATCATCCCGACAAAAATGCAAATCAATGTGCTATTGTACCGAACGCTTCTAATAAACGTAATACGCTTAACGAACACTTTATTTCAATCAATGAGGCTTATAATATTCTTTCAAATGAAGAATCTAGAGCTAATTATGATATTCAACGCCTCACTGGTAATTCAAATTTAAATGACGAGTCCTCTAGTACATTAGAGTATATGCATAAGCTATTTCGTGAAATCATGTCATACAAAGAAACTATTTCAGAGCTTTCTAATTCATTTATGACTCGTTCAGTCGAGCTAGGTTGGGTTGCAGTTAATACTGAAGAACAGCTTTTTAGCACATATGAAAGGGAAATATCTTTAATAGAATCAAGCATTCTTGTTGAACATGAAGAATCTTCCACGCCACCTTTTATTGATGCTAATCAATATGATAATGACATTTCAGTCAATTATCTTCCTGAAGATGACATTATTCAAATCCTAGAAAATCCTCAATGGATAGTTATTGATAAAGAAACTTTAGTTCGCAGCCATCAACTTTCAGATTTTATTGAATCACAAAATTTACTTATTAAATCCATTTCAGATATAATTTCACCATTAATGATGGCTTGTTCTTACGGCACGTGGAGTTATGAAAGCAAAGTGGAAACATTGGTCCGAATTAAATCATTACAGTCAAAGATTATACAATATTTAGAATTTATGAACCAAAAGATAAAAACAGATGAACAAGCTTTTGATTCCATCATTAATAAAGTTATTATTAATTTAATCTTTTTTCTAAATGCTTATTATTGTAATTGCAAATTGTGACCTTGATTGTGTTTTATGTTTTAGATAAAAACAGATAATATTCAAGAACAAATCATAAGCTTAATCAAACATCCTATCATGAATAAAATGTCTGGTGGTAAGTTTGGACAGAATGGACATCCAATATGGAATGTAGCTGCACTCATAGGGCCACCATTTGCTGGATATTCACTCTACTGGTTTGTTTGTTGATCCTTTATTTAAACATACGTATGAGAAATTACGTTCAATCTGACTAATTTATTTTCATTTAGGTCCATCCTTTGCCTTATTATTTTAGGTGCAGTAACCGTTCATTTCAACGAAGGAGATTTAGAAAGTTTTAAGCAATTTCTGGATTTGTTTGAAAACATTGTTGCATTGTTTGATAAAATTAAAGCGTAAATAGTTTGATATTTCAAATTACAGAATATATAGTATAATTTAATTCTGTTTATTCGTCAATGTACAATGAAATACATAATTATATATTCAATCTAGTAACCTAATTTCATTTTACATTATATACAGTATAATTTCTATTACTGTTTCTAAATAATAGAAAGACCAACAAGTTTATAAATATATATATACAAATTAACAGCAATTTCCTAAATTAACAATTTTAGGTAATGGAGAGACCTAAAATTCTATGTAGATTGTCTATCTTGGAGTTGTAACTATTCTATCTTAAGTAATGTATGGTATATAGTATTTATTAAATTTAGCAAAATGCCATTAATTTGACGTAATAGATATTAAAACATACAGTATATCGAATTTCAAATCACTAACCGCTAACTTTATGTAGGTGGTTTTTGTGTAAAAAAAAAAAAAAACTAGGTATGTAACTTTATCGGACAATCTTCGGACAGTGCATGGAGACAGTACAAAGTTACGTGTTTAAGTTATGATTGGTTAGTTAACTGTTAGGGTAGAGGATTTAAATCTACCCTAGTATCGCCCAATTTAATGTAACGTAACACGATCAGAAAAATTCAAAACGTCGCTTTTGTTAAAAATCGCTTGTTTCCATAAGGAACTACCTTTCGTGCACTAATTAAAAGTTTTCCTTGAACGATTTTACTATATAATCGCCTAAACCCAAATCCTAATATAAAGACTTACCCAAACCCTAAATGAACTTAAAGAATTTTGTCGTTGGCCACGTTGTCTCAATGCACTGTCCGTAGAACTACCCCAACCCCAGTGGCACCGACAGATTTTCACTGATCGACAATCATAACATACGTATGCGCAATTTTTAGTCATAAAACAACTACATTATGGTCAGGTATACAATTAGGCTTGTTCTATACTAGATGGATGATCTTGTAATCTAAGTAATCTAATTGGTCAATTCGATGTCGATTAGTGAGTGATTGATTTAGATCATATGTCTACATACAACGTCCATATCATGAAATTATGGGTATAGACATCCAGGACTTCGAAAGTAAGCGTTTTTTCGTTTTTTTTTCGGTGTAGTTATTGGAAGAGCTCTTGTCAGCGAACTTCGATTTGCACCTGATTGAATGCTATAGCACCCCTCGATAAGATTGAACTGTTAATAAGAAATTTTATTCTTTATTTAATGGGGACAACTGCTTTTAGATAATGATTCTGGTAAAATCACGGGCAATTCATTTATCGAAGTCAATTAAAAATTACAGAATTAATACGTAATGGTGAACTATTTCTATAAAGGGTTTAATTTTTCTAAGAAATATTAGATTATTGATTTTTTATACGTATATACTTGTTGTGCGTATATTCGATATAACCATTAGATCTACTGTAACATATCACTTTATTCAATATACCCTACTTAGTCATTAAATAAAAATAACGGTTTTAATAATTTATAACATTGATTTAACGATTGGTGGTTTTGATTTTTTGAATTTTACACTATTAACTGAAAATGGACGTATATTTAGATATTCCAAATGAAGTAGAAATCTCGATTTTCAAACCCAAATTATGTAGTAATGTCAATTCAAAAAAAGGTCTAGATTATAATTCTAATCTATATATTTAGAATAGTGTCAATTTCAGTGCTTATTTTTTTTACTCTTTTTAGTCGTTACTACTTTAAAAGCACCAGCACCATTCCCTGTATAATCGTCCTTTGCACTATTACTTCCATTTGAAAGATCTTTGTTCAATTTACTGTCCGAATGATGGCTTAATAAACTGCTCATTGGCAATCCATTTGCATCAGCTTTCCTTCTTTTAATAAATTCGTCAGCAAATCGACGACCATCTAGTGTTGGTGAGGTAGCATAAATAGAATCTTGAATAATCTCGATAGTTTCCGGGGGTGGATCAAGAGGAAACGTTAATAACATCTGAATAAACTCGTCAACTTTTGTCATAAACCGTTATTTATGTGCATTAATTAAAAAAAGAAAGGAACTATTAATTAAATGTCATTTTGAAAGGAATAAAAATATATAAAATGATCAATATATACCATTTGGGTTATTCAATCCGCGTAAAGCATTTCTACACCATTTTAAAAATTCTTCAGAAGGTGGCCGTGGCGTAGAATATTCGTTACTCTTATTATTATTATTATTATTACTGGCGCCACTATTTGTCATAGGTTTAGGTATACCCGTATTAGCAGTTGTTCTGGTACCACTTTTTAAGGCCTCAGCAGGCTTGGCAGATTGGTTTACAACTCTAGAATGGTATGCAATGTATAAGGTAATTTCCATTTAATATTACAGTGCGTTAAACTTATGGAATTACCTTAATCCAGTCTGAACGCCGTTAATCTGCTTGTGTTCGGTATCTAAAAGCGAAGCATCTCTAGTAGCTATATTTGTTTTTGTTACACCAGGTAATACGCTACTTGAGTTCAAAATATTCGTTGGAGTAGTAGTAGTGATGCGGTTAGATGTTTTACTTGCAACAGTTGTCCAAGCATTAGTCGTGGAGCTTATCGATGGCTTCTGTTGAGCGTAATTGAAGATTAATAGTAAAAAATCAATAGTGAATAAGAATAATTAAATAAATTTATAAATGTAAATATAAATAAATAAATAAATCTATATCTAAAATAATAACCTTCGAATTTACGTTTAAATTTCCAATGGATACCGTATCCGCATAGCGTTTTCCCATGTTATTTGGAGCAGTCGTTCCACTAGATGCGGAAGAGCTAACCAACGCTTGTTGCATCTCACGTATCTTGTTACGTTTTTTCATCGCTTCTTCCTCCTCTTTTTGAATTTCTCTAAATTAGAGGAACCTATTCATCAACCAGTACAAAAGGAAGAAGCTTTACGGTCAAAACCTTCTCTACGTGAAATTCAGGCGGAAGAAGAGCGTAAAAAGCAGCACGAAGAAAAGGAAAAATCGGCTGTGATTTCAGGTGTCTCCACAAACAATGTAGCTGGTAAAATACCTCAACCATTAAAGTCATCAAATTCGGCATGGATGAATAATAGTCCTGTTACACCATCCACACCTGCTCCATGGGCTAAAGATGATGATCATCCGACTCAAAAAACTCCATCTTTACGCGAAATTCAAGAAATGGAAGCCCGAAAAGCCGTTGAAAGAAAAGCTGCTGCTGCTGCAACTGCAAGTTCATATGCATCTACTTATAAGGATGATGTGACGACTTCAACTACTTCGTGGGGCATAGTTGTTCCTACGTCATCTAACGAATCAGACTCGTCTTCACTTTCTACTTCACCCGTTGTGACCACACCAGCGTGGCAATCAAACAATACTGCCCCAAAAAAGACACTTAGAGAAATTCAAAAAGAGGAGGAAGAAGCGATGAAAAAACGTAACAAGATACGTGAGATGCAA